CCCGCCCGATGATCCAGAATAACGCCAGAGCGGAGATATAAAGGTAGGCCCGATACTTTCCGGACAGACCTCGTATTTCCCGAGATATTTAGGTGTCCCGACCTTTTTGAGACATCCTGTATAACTTATCACTATATTTACACAAAATTATTAATGATTCAATACTTAAAGCTCCAAGTTATATTAAAAATAGTGTTGATTTAATTGATAAATTAAAATGCATTAAACTGGAATCTAATTCATCACTGGTTTCATTGGATGTGGTTTCCTTGTTCACTAACATATCTATAGATTTGGCATCTGATAGTGTTGTTAGAAGGTGGGAATCCATATCTAGGGGGACAAAAATTACTTTAGATGAATTTATGATAGCCTTTAGATTAATATTGAACTCGACAGTTTTTATTTTTAATGGTATATTTTACAAACAAATTTTTGGAACTCCTATGGGATCCCCATTATCACCTATAGTAACAAACATGGTCATGCAGGATTTCAAGGAAATTGCAATTGGATTATTGCCTGTTCAGTTATCTTTTTATTACCGGTACATTGACGATATTTTAGCAGCCCCATCCGAAAGCATTAATGACATCTTAAACATTTTTAACTCATTACACACAAGATTGCAGTTTACTATGGAAGTTGGCAAGAAAGGTAAAATAAGTTTTTTAGACACTTTAATTATTGTTAATGAATGTAATTTGATATTTGATGGCTAACGTAAAGCCACTTTTTCTGGCAGATTCCTTAATTTCCAGTCTCAACATCCGGTCTGTCATAAGAGAGGAGTGATATATAGTGTTATAGATAAAATAGTTCGCTTGTGCCATCCAACTTTTCAACAGAATAATTTGACTGATGCAATTAATTATTAATATATTTTTGAACAACGGATACCCTCTTCAATTTATTTTTTCGACAATCCAGAATAGAATAAAATACCATATTAATAATATTAATGTGAATAATAATAACATTTTGTCAAATAAATTTTTCGCTATTCCATTTGTCAGTTCTATTTCTGAAAAATTTAAACCTATAACTAATGTGGTCGATTATAAATTGGCATACACTATTCCCAACACACTTAAAGACTACATAAAAAAGGGAAAAGATAAACTAGAACATACAAAGAATCAAAATGTAGTTTATAAAATATTAGGTGTTGAACTTAATTCCTGCCGCTCGCTGCTAGAGAGTGCTGGCTCCAACGCTGGTGAGTTTCGACGATGAAGTCGTATGTCTTTTGTAGTTTAGAACATCGCTGAAAATGATTCAATCCTCACAGATTAGATTTCTCGACGCCAAAGAGATTTTCCAATCGATTGAAAATGAATCGCGATAAGCTGTTTTTTTTTCGACATCTGCTTCTTCACTACTTCGACCACAAGAAAACCGCAGCTGAAGCGCATCGCTTATTATCCGAAGTGTATGGTGATGAAACTCCATCGGAAAGAACATGTAGAGTTTGGTTTGAACGCTTCCGAAACGGTGATTTTGATGTGAAAGACAAAGAACGTCCAGGACAGCCGAAAAAATTTGAAGATGTCGAGCTGCAAGAATTGCTTGATGAGAATCCAGCTCAAACGCTTTTAGAGTTGTCGAAATAGTTAAATGTTACTCCAAAGGCCGTCTCAAAACGCTTGCATGCCATGGGAAAGATTCATAAGGAAGGGATATGGCTACCACATGAGTTGTCAGAAAATATCATTTTGAATCGTTTGTCTATTACGACTTCTTTGCTTGCCAGGCAAAGAAAAAAGAGGTTTTTGTGGTGCATCGTGATTGACGATGAAAAATGGATTTATTTTGATAATCCTGCGGAAAAAATCATGGATGGATCCCGGCCAACCATCCGCTCCAACGCCGAAGAGGAATATTCACGGGCATAAGACCTTGGTGTGCGTTT